CCTCTGTTAGATGTCAGTAGGCCATCTTGGTGTTGATGGTGGCTCGGCAATCTTTCTGTCAACACTTCCAGTGGATAGAAGTTGCTCTCCTTGTCTTGATGCTAAATCTTCTGCACCTAAATATCAAGTACTGACCTCCTGTACCATTTGGAATGAAATGTAAGTCAAGCTGAACGTTTGCCATGGTGAATAAATGCACTAGACCACAGTGCAACATTATATACTTGTATTCAGAGAACATATTTCACTTAGAGTGATGTTACAACAAATAAAATTTAATGTCCATCGGTGTCATGGTGAACTGCACTCAGCAAGCTAATTAGGTTACCCTGTCGGACCATATCACACAGTGATGAACAGTATTGCACAATCAATAAAGCATAACCTTAATCCCCCTAAGCTGTTGGGTGAACGAGAAGATCCATTCTCACTCATTGTTGTGTCAATCAGAACCCAAGCGCTTGGAACAATGAGCGATGTAAACACTTTTAATGTTTATCTTCAATGAGATACATATTTCCAAATTATTTCAAGAAAATTCAGTTCTACAACACAAGATTCATACAGATACGTATGCAGCATAATTTCATGAATGCATACACACCAATTTTATCCTACGACTCTTGTTTGTGTTCTTATTTCGTATTTTGTGGAGAGCAGAATTTCATGACCTTACATTTTTGACGCATGCGCACAAGTGAAACACACTGAAACATCTCTTATCGGATTGATGCTCATGCTCGAAATTCTATCATTCATCTGAAAACGTTGATGTTGGACATACATGTAACTCATGTCTAATAGGAAAACGGACACATTATGAAATATTAATAACTGGTTTTAGTGTAAACGCCTTTAAGAAACTTAAGCCCCACTCGGGGGAGAGAGAGAGAGAGAGAGAGAGAGAGAGAGAGAGAGAGAGAGAGAGAGAGAGAGAGAGAGAGAGAGAGAGAGAGAGAGAGAGAGAGAGAGAGAGAGAGAGAGAGAGAGAGAGAGAGAGAGAGAGAGAGAGAGAGAGAGAGTTTCAAAATGCACACTTTCTTTCTTATTAATGGGCTCTTTCAGAACAAGCTGATACACACACACAGTTATTGATATTTCATGTGTCCGTTTTCCTATTACATAAAAAAGTGTTGCTATATCAGGGGTTGAAGTGGGGTGGGGAATGGGGTACATTCAGTTTTATATATCATAGTCATGTGATTTTTCATATCCAGTAGATAACACGCCATTGATTTAAACAGTATTTTATTTCCATTAATGTTTACATTTTTCATAATACACGACATAACAAAATGGAAATAGGATTAGCAAACAGGCCATATGGCCTATGTCAATGCTTCTCCGCATATAATTCGTTATTATCTTGACTTATTTCTATGGAGCAGACATTAGGACATTAATGAATGAATCAAAACAAAATAAAAATAAAGAAAAGAACAAGATACCAAGTGCATTTTATGTTTATAGGTTGTTACTTGAATTCCGTAAAGCGGTTAGTTTCAGTTATATAATTCTGAACGGATTTTATAAGGTTTTCATAACACCATAACACGCCATTGATCCGATGTGTAATTAACCTCTTGTTAGCATCACGCAGATGTTGCCATACCATGACTATTATTAAACGTTTTAAGATCAATGCCTATATCAGTACCATGATCAACCCCATGCAAAATAGAAGAATAGGTATGGATGTTATATTGAAATGATATATGCCCCCAATAAATAAAGTATATTCTCTGTTATTAATATTCCATTTTTGAAAGTACATACATTGTTAAAAATACATGGTTGAATTAATTATGTATTTGAAATTATTAGATCTATATATTATTAATTATATGATGTGGCAACACCCATTTTCTAGTTCATTTTAGTGGGCATTCAGTTTATTTCCGACATACAGCTGGAGAATGATCACTTTTGTTTAGTGTGTCCATTTTATAATGGTCTCAGACGCTCTATCATTCCTGCATTTTCCTTCACAAATAAAATTTAAACAATTGATTGCATCTAAAAATACCTATGTATTATCACTGCTTGCAAAGTATCTACTCTAGGGTTTAGATTACGATCACGTCTTCAACAGTCACATGTATATGGTCTCAGACGTACGGAAGCGCTGAAGGGACATGAGTAGGAGAATGCACATTTTACATTGTTTTAGCATCTGTGCGCATTACATATCGCTTTACGGCAGAATGTACCAGCCAAACCTATATGTGCCCGTGTCTGTGTCTGTGTGTCCGTCTCTCTCTCTAAATTAACACAGACACTAGCGTGTCAAACTTTTAAGTATATTCCAGTTCAACTGACAGGACATGAACTTGTTCCATGTGTTCCAGGAGATGTACATGATGGGTTCAGCTTCTAGTAGAATGGCTTGTCCTCTATGTATCGCTGTAACACGTCCTATGATCTGTTCCATGTGTGCCAGGAGACGTACATGATGTATGTTTTATCTTCTAGTAGAATGGCCTGTCCTCTATGTATCGCTGTAACACGTCCTATGATCTGTTCCATGTGTGCCAGGAGACTTACTAATGGGAGCATCTAGTGGACTGGCCTGTCCTCTATGTATCGCTGTAACACGTCCTAACATCTGTTCCAGTTGTACATGATGAATGTTTTATCTGGACTGGCCTGTCCTCTATGTATCGTTGTAGCATCTCCTATGATCTGTTCCATGTGTGCCAGGAGATGTACATGATGAATGATGTCAGCTTCTATGTACACGTCCTATGATCTGTTCCATGTGTGCCAGGAGATGTACATGATGAATGTTTTTTAGCTTCTAGTGGAATGGCCTGTCCTCTATGTATCGCTGTAACACACGTCCTATGATCTGTTCCATGTGTGCCAGGAGATGTACATGATGAATGTTTTAGCTTCTAGTAGAATGGTCTGTCCTCTATGTATCGCTGTAACACGTCCTATGAATGTTTGTTTTATAGTTCTTCCAGGAGATGTACATGATGAATGTTTTGAAGCTTCTAGTGGACTGGCCTGTCCTCTATGTATCGCTGTAACACGTCCTATGATCTGTTCCATGTGTGCCAGGAGATGTACATGATGAATGTTTTAGCTTCTAGTAGAATGGTCTGTCCTCTATGTATCGCTGTAACACGTCCTATGATCTGTTCCATGTGTGCCAGGAGATGTACATGATGAATGTTTTAGCTTCTAGTGGACTGGCCTGTCCTCTATGTATCGCTGTAACACGTCCTATGATCTGTTCCATGTGTGCCAGGAGATGTACATGATGAATGTTTTAGCTTCTAGTAGAATGGTCTGTCCTCTATGTATCGCTGTAACACGTCCTATGATCTGTTCCATGTGTGCCAGGAGATGTACATGATGAATGTTTTATCTTCTAGTGGACTGGCCTGTCCTCTATGTATCGTTGTAACACGTCCTATGATCTGTTCCATGTGTGCCAGGAGATGTACATGATGAATGTTTTATCTTCTAGTAGAATGGCCTGTCCTCTATGTATCGCTGTAACATGTCCTATCATCTGTCCCATGTGTGCCAGGAGATGTACATGATGAATGTTTTATCTTCTAGTGGACTGGCCTGTCCTCTATGTATCGTTGTAACACGTCCTCTATCATCTGTTCCATGTGTGCCAGGAGATGTACATGATGAATGTATTATCTTCTAGTGGACTGGCCTGTCCTCTATGTATCGCTGTATCACGTTCTATAATCTGTTCCATGTATGCCAGGAGATGTACATGATGAATGTTTTATCTTCTAGTGGACTGGCCTGTCCTCTATGTATCGCTGTAACACGTCCTATGATCTGTTCCATGTGTGCCAGGAGATGTACATGATGAATGTTTTATCTTCTAGTAGAATGGCCTGTCCTCTATGTATCGCTGTAACACGTCCTATCATCTGTTCCATGTGTGCCAGGAGATGTACATGATGAATGTTTTATCTTCTAGTGGACTGGCCTGTCCTCTATGTATCGCTGTAACACGTCCTATCATCTGTTCCATGTGTGGAGATGTACATGATGAGTTTTAGCTTCTAGTAGAATGGCCTGTCCTCTATCATGATGAATGTCCTCTATGTATCGCTGTAACACGTCCTATCATCTGCTTGTGCCAGGAGATACATGATGAATGTTTTATCTTCTAGTGTACTGGCCTGTCCTCTAGTATCGTTGTAACACGTCCTATGATCTGTTCCATGTGTGCCAGGAGATGTACATGATGAATGTTTTAGCTTCTAGTGTGGTCTGTCCTCTATGTATCGCTGTAACACGTCCTATGATCTGTTCCATGTGTGCCAGGAGATGTACATGATGAATGTTTTAGCTTCTAGTGGACTGTGTCCTCTATGTATCCACGTCCTATGATCTGTTCCATGTGTGCCAGGAGATGTACATGATGAATGTTTTAGCTTCTAGTAGATGATGTATCGCTGTAACACGTCCCTATGATTCTAGTGTGCCAGGTGAGATGTACATGATGAATGTTTTATCTTCTAGTGGACTGTCACTCTATGTATCGCTGTAACACGTCCTATGATCTGTTCCATGTGGCCTGTCCTCTATGTATCGCCAGTCCTATGATCTGATGTACATGATGAATGTTTTATCTTCTAGTAGAATGGCCTGTCCTCTATGTAACGCTGTAACACGTCCTATGATCTGTTCCATGTGCCAGGAGATGTACATGATGAATGTTTTAGCTTCTAGTAGAATGGCCTGTCCTCTATGTATCGCTGTAACACGTCCTATCATCTGTTCCATGTGTGCCAGGAGATGTACATGATGAATGTTTTAGCTTCTAGTGGAATGGCCTGTCCTCTATGTATCGCTGTAACACGTCCTATGATCTGTTCCATGTGTGCCAGGAGATGTACATGATGAATGTTTTATCTTCTAGTAGAATGGCCTGTCCTCTATGTATCGCTGTAACACGTCCTATGATCTGTTCCATGTGTTCCAGGAGATGTACATGATGAATGTTTTAGCTTCTAGTGGACTGGCCTGTCCTCTATGTATCGCTGTAACACGTCCTATGATCTGTTCCATGTGTGCCAGGAGATGTACATGATGAATGTTTTAGCTTCTAGTAGAATGGCCTGTCCTCTATGTATCGCTGTAACACGTCCTATCATCTGTTCCATGTGTTCCAGGAGATGTACATGATCTATTTTTTATCTTCTAGTAGAATGGTCTGTCCTCTATGTATCGCTGTAACATGTCATACGTCCAGTCAGGCTGGTCGAAGGTGACGATATGCCCCGCCTCTCGCACAGTCACCTACAACACACAGGACAACTATATCCACCACCTTGCTTACTTCTTCAACACATGGGATCAAAATGTTCTCATTTGCTGGACACCATGTCCATAATATCAAACAAGGGCCATACCTCTGTACATTATTAATTCTTGATGCATTGTTTTGTTTTCCAACAATTGTTTTATCCTTTTTGTCCCCAGCTCCAGAGTTGTATGGAGGACACCAGTTCATGGTGGTTGGATTGTCCACCAAACTCTAGCGATCAAACAACTCTGTAAAATACTAGGCCTCGATGCTGGGTTTTCCTCAGCCACATAAATAATGAATGCAAAATATCATCCTTGCTTCCACAGTGGCCTGTGAGAAACAATATTTACCATTAAACATAAGGCAAGACAATACATCTGTGCACTATTTCATCTCAATGCTGGGTTTCAAACTTGACCTGCAGATATTTCCCTTAAGAACTTATAACAAACATCCTTTTATCTCTAATGTTTCCCCATTTTAGGTCTGATGTACTTGAATCGAAACCTATTCACATAGGGTAACTCTGTAAAATATACAATTGTGAAGAGATGATTTTGAATTCAGTCATCATATTTATCTCTTTAATGATGTTGGCTAAATGCCCTTCTTGTATGGGGCGATGGGATGGCCTAGTGGTTAAAGAGTGCGCTCGTCACGCTGAAAAACCCTGGTTTGATTCCCCACATGGGTATAATGTGTGAAGCCCATTACTGGTGTCCCCCGCCGCGAGATTGAAGGAATATTGCTAAAAGCGGCCTAAACCATACTCACTTACTCATTCCTTGTATCCTAAGAAGTTTCCCCTAAATGTTTTGGATGAAAGGAAGGATGGAAGGATGGAATGACAGAGCCCAAACCAGTATCACCACAACACTTCCTGCTGGGGGGCGTAACTGAATAAAAATACTTTAATCATTAAATTACAGTCAACTCTGTTGATGCCAAATCATTAGTTGGTGATGTCCCCGCTATTAGCCTTATATTTAATGGATCCAAGGTAGTTAGAATACCCTGCATAGTCGAGGATGATACTCAAGCTGCTGATGACGAACCTGAGTGAAGTTGCCAACTGCACGGACATAGCCTGCTACATCTTTGTCTGTCGGGGAGACTCTCCAGATATGTTTGGTGGCCTGTTTGTAGGCTGCCTGATCTTTCCACTCGGTCATACTGTCCAGCATGGCCTCTGTGGCAGGAAGACACACGATGATGTCCAGCTGTCCGTTGAACAGCAGCACCTGATGACAAAACATGTACTGTCACAAGACAATATAGTGGGGCATTCAAATGGGTGTGATATGATTCTTATTCCCAAATGGCCTCTATGGCAGGAAGACACAAGATGATGTCCAGCTGTCCGTTGAACAACAGCACCTGATGACAAAACATGTACTGTCACTAGACAATATAGTGGGGCATTCAAATGGGTGTGATATGATTCTTATTCCCAATTGCGTAGATCGATGCCTATGTTGTTGATCACCGGATTGTCTGATCCAGAATCGATCACTTACAGACTGCCACAATACAAACAAAGAAACAAATCATATCCTCATACAGTATATTCATTTCATAAGTTGATATTCTTTCCTTGGCAGGCGTAGCACAACCCTAGTTATTCGTTAAACTGAAGAGAAAGAAGATGGGACATTGCAGGATACAGTCCAGACTGCATTGTAAATGTTATGGTATTGGTAGCCAAATGTGAAATATTAGAGAATCTGTGTAATTCGGTTGTTTAGCAGATTCTGTTGTACTTGCCTTGTACTTGCCACTGTTGAGCAGAGTGACAAACCACGGCCTCACGCTGTCCAGGATGTCGGTATACAGGAACTCACCTACTTGGATGCTGAAGGCGGTGTAGGACAAATTTCCGACATGGATCGCACGGCGGACTTCAGGGTGATCAACATATGACACAAAGTAGGTCATTTCTGCTGGTTCCTAAAACATCAAAATGACAAACTACAGACTCTTGAAACAGCGAAATGACAACCTGCAGACTCCTGTTTAAACTCCCGAAACAGCGAAGTGACAATCTGCAGACTCCTGAAACAGCGATGTGACAAACTGCAGACTCTTGCAACAACGAAGTGACAATCTGCAGACTCCTGAAACAGCGAAGTGACAACCTGCAGACTCCTGTTTAGACTCCCGAAACAGGGAAGTGACAATCTGCAGACTCTTGCAAACAGCAAAGTGAAAATCTGCACTCCTGAAACAGCGAAGTGACAATCTGCAGACTCCTGAAACAGCGAAGTGACAGTCTGCAGACTACTGAAACAGCAAATAACAAGACGTGATGAAGACATCCTAATGATGATGATGATGATAATCGATCATTGTTTCACAGAATTATCTGACTGGATAACATATTTACACTGTCCTGAGGGAAGAAATTGAAATTGTCTGTTGGAATCATTACAAGTTAACAACATTTTGATTTGTGCATTACATATAACTGACGTCTCAGTAATATCTCGTCTTAAGGCTCACCACTATGCATATATCTGAGGATGTCCTATTACAGACCACATCAGTATGACTTTGAATCAGATCTCTTACAAGATGACAGAAGTGGAAGTCTTAACATGATTTCTAATCACATCGAAAAGGTTAGATAAAGCATTCCGCCTGAATGTTACGGAATGTTCTATTGATTCTGACTATATATCTGTAGCTTCAATATAACATTTGCAACAGAAGACACACGGTAGAACTGCCATACAATCTTGACCATACTCCAGAAGTTTGTTTTGTTCAGTTTCGAAATTTTGAGTTAGTGAGTGAGTTAAAATTTAAAGTCACATCGGCAATATTTCAGCCATACCGTGACTAAAACTAGTTCTAAATTCATAATACATACATATAATATATAAAACCCTGTCAACGAAGGACAGTATAATTACTAGATTATCACAAAATGAGTTAAAACTAGCTAGCATATATCTTTTAAAGTAGAAAACTATTTTTGGACAATACAATGTAACAATGGGCTAGTAATCGCCAACAACTGAAGGTAGATCCCTATACTAGGGACCATGGAGACTTACAGTGCCTTTGCTACCTGCATGGACACCATCCCTTCAGCCATTGGCGTTAATGCTGAGATTTAGCCATACATTAAAATGACAAAAATACTACGATTCAAACCTGTTATACTTAAATTTACTTGAAATGTTTAGGGACGTACGTACCCTCTCAGGAGGACAAATATTTTTACGCTACTTCAACCCCCTTCGAAGGTACAGCCACTCTAAATTCAGTTTCTCATTTAAATCACCAATACTGAAAGTGCATGTGTGTACAAAACATATGAATCAAAATTCATTTATCAGTTCTATTTCTTTTTAAAATCGATAATAAAATGATAATTGACATTATTTAAAAGATCCTTAACAGTTTCGAAATTTTGAAAATGGAACTTTGTAAAAAACATGTTCATGTCTTTGAGTGAGTGAGGGAATTTGGTTTTACGCCGCTTTTAGCAATCACGGCGGGGGACACCAGAAAATGGCTTCACACATTGTACTTATGTGGGGTATCGAACTCGGATCATCGGTGTGACGAGCAAACACTAGGCTACCCCACCGCCCAGTCAGTCTTTGAAGTAACCAATATAGAACTAGTATCGTAAAGATCGAGAAAGCTGCTTATTGATTGACTAATGCTGACTTCCAGTTTGTCACTCTTTGGTCGATCAAAACTTACGTTCTGACCTGATGGGTGGCCACAGACTGGGAATAGTGTGCCCTGTGATCTGATTTCATTGAGATGCTTCAAGTTTAGAAACTCAGTTAAAGACTTTCTCTGTTCAAATATTGATATAATAGGCTACCGACAATCCACACTATGCTACAGGTACCTAGCCTAGAGCCTTGGGACCAAAATATGTTCATGAATGTCCCTTATGCTTGATATCAGATAGGCCCGGATGGGCCTTCTGATATCCCTCATAATAAGGCTATTGTTGATACACACCTACTCACAAACGTCTTGCAGTAATGTTTATTAAATATAGCCAGTGAAAAATATACTTTCAAACAAAAAGACATGACAAGCACACAGAAAATAAACATAAATACGTTAAGCACATAATACTTTACAAGATAAACCTGAGGAGTTATACATTTGTGGTGTCCCCCGCCATGATATTACGAGAATTTTGCTAAAAGCGGCGTAAAAATAAACTCACTCACTCACTCACCACTGATGAGTTATAAAACGAAAAGGGTTTCATCAAAACTTGCCATCATGCTTATTATATTCACCGTATTCAAAGGCGTACGAACAGCATTGTTACTGTTTGCACGCTGGAATTCCAAAGGGTACTCATAACAGTCTACTAAAACTAAATATATTTCCAGCTGTGCACTTTATTAGGCTCACCTGGACTTCCAGAATATTTTCATAATCTATGTATCCAGTGGCATTGTAGAAGAACCCTTTCTCCAACATGGCAGCTGAGAAGATCTGATGACAGAACAAGACAGATTAATGACCATGTTGCAATGTATGGCGAAACGTGAAAATATTCAGGACATACCATCACTGTTAAAAGGTACTAAAGCTTCCTTGGCTATAGTTTCCAGATGCCGAGAATTGTGAAGAGTTGAAACCTCTGGCTAATGCTATAGTTTCCAAATGCCTAGAAATGTGAAGAGTTGAAACCCCTGGCTAATGCTATAGTTTCCTAATGCCGAGAAATGTGAACATTCGAAACCTCTGGCTAACTCTATAGTTTCCAGATGCCGAGAAATGTGAAGAGTTGAAACCTCTGGACTACTAACAGTTGTTCAGGTCCTACAATACATATTTGAATTACGTTCAGTTACTTACATCCATTGCATTCTTGAAATCTTTCGCTTTCACAAGCTCTGTAACCTTTCCAATTAGGCCTTGGAAATACTGTTTCTCATTCTCATCGAACAGGCCAACATTAAACAGGTAGTCAGCATAGGCAGGAATCATCTATAGGACATAACGAAACTGAAAATCAGCTTCAGGGTCGCCTGATTATAAATGACATGAAACAATCATCCCTACCACCTCTACCTGCACGCATGAGGGTAGAGACCACATGGTGTAACAGTTTTATCATTCTTCTAAATATGAATACTCGGCGTCATTAATGAAGGGTCAAGTGATTGATAACACTGTTTCTCAAAAGCTGTAAAATCTGCGTTTTTGTTTGAAATATATACAACTGAATGTTTTACAAACTTTCTTAACAGCATGGGAAAACACATCAGGCTGTTGAAATTTCACTATTACGTTCTTTAACGTCCGACACACTCTGTTACAAATGGCACATTTTTATTCAGATTGTCAATTGGAAGTCCGCCTGCCTCTTAATGTCAGTGATTTGCAAGTGCAAGTTGCTCTATCCATGGAAAGTGGAGGACAATACACATGGATTGAGGCTTTTTCACTGTCGTCCACTTTCAGGTACCTGTTTGAAATCGCAGCTTAAAACGAGACGATTTTTGACACTTGCTGAAAGGGGTCTTTTAGACCTTTTAGAATCTGGCCAAACTCAGCGGCAGATTGCGATTGGTAGACTGTGGCAGTGATTTCAAACCAATGGGTCCGTGGAATATGTACGTCGACCACGTCGCCCCAGAGTCACAACAGTCCGAGATAGGCACATGATTAACACAGATTCCTGAACGCAGCAGGTCTTCAGACAGAACACTTGTTAACAATATAAGGATATCCAGGACCACCGTTCGGCGACGTTTAAGGGCAGCCGGACTGCGCTGTAGGCAACCTGCAGCTCGTCCACGACTAACACCACGTCACAGACAGGCGCGTTTGAGATGGAGTAGACGTCATGGCTGCTGGAATCAGCGTTAATAGTCTCATGTGCTCTTCACAGATTCAATTTGTCCTTCCATGATGGTCGGTAGAGGAATTACCGACGCAATAGAGAGTGGACGTACTCCACTGCACGTGGTCGACGGTAATCTTACCGGACAGCGTTATCGGGACAAGATTCTGGCTTCTATAGCAGTACAATTCCTTCAAGCTATGCATTACCTTTATGGCCGACCCTCTTTACTGAAGACGACATCGCAAGGCCTCATAGGGCCAGGATTGTCAATCAGGCAGCAGGATTGGCAAACACACACGCAAAAACCTTATATTAATGCCTCTCCAGACAATATAACACTTATGCGACTTGCTTTTCATAACATTATTACAAAAGTGCATGATGTCATAAATAACATTAAGCATACAATACACATAAATATAAACATCCATCCAGCAAAACATGTTTTATGTCTGCAAAGGGCCAGATGAAAACTTAAGTTCGATTAAATCTTCTTGAAGTGGTAATAAAGTTATGTACTGATTTGATAATATCATGATTTATAGATCTAGGTAATTCTAAGTTATCATTCAGAGCGCCATGTATGTTATATCCATGCTTGAAATAGAATACATCGTTTCTTATAGCATCATATTTTGGACATACAAAAGATAATGAAGGGTGTCCTGGAAGGCAGCACCACAAGTACATGATGGGTTATCGGATAGAAATCTACTTACTTTATGGGCATTTAAATCGCTGCATTCGTCCCACATGGGTACAACGTGTGAAGCCCATTTCTGGTGTCCCCCGACTTGATATTGCTAGAATGTTGCTAAAAGTGGCGTAAATCTAAACTCGCTCACTCACTTTAATTGGAGTCTGCAGTGGATTTGACTAAACCAGTTTCCAATGTTGATATCAAACCCAAATGAAGTATTTCAATATGATGTATTCTTATTCTTGAATTCGTTTGGTGATTGTATAAGTCTGAGTTCTTCAGGTAAAAAATTCCAAACTTCATTAGTACTTAAGGGATAAAGTTAATTTCTGAATGCACTTTATTTCTACTTGAGGTAAGAGATCAGTTTCTGAATACAATTTATTATAACTTCCTCAAATCCTCAAAAAAATCAATTGATACAATATCAAAGTATCTATAATACCATGTACAATGTAATACCATGTATCTAACTTTAATACAATTTTCACTAATCTCACTATTGAGCATTTTGTTGAAATCAACTATGGCTCATCTAGACTAAGTGTTATCAAAGCACTAACCCCAGTCAGCCATATCCCAGTCTGGCTATGTGAGACACCTGTTTTGATAGAATCTGGATAAGTGAGAGGACACCCTCTGAAACCATTAGTCCAAAACATTCAAACTCTTTTGTACTAATAGTAACTGTTTGGATTAAAGAGTTTGCCCATGCATTTTAATTACTTTTGTTGTCTGAACATACTGATATTGGGTCAATGAAGCCTGCTCCAATGAAAAGTCCCTTCAAGTTGATGTTGATTTTGTCTTTCGGGTTCTCCGTGTGGATCTTATAGCTGATGGCAGAGATGTACTTGCCAGCATAACTCTAGAAACAGACATGAAAAGCAATCATATCAATATAGGCTTATTATGCTCAAGAGATTTTACGTTGATTGTTTGTTGTTTAACGCCACACTCAGCAATATATTCCAGCTATATGACGGCGTCCTGTCAAATAATTCTGTCTGGACCAGAAAATCAAGAGATCAATATCCTGAGTATCGATCTATGCAAAATGGATACGATGACATCTGACTATCAATTCAGCTGGCCAGATTACCTGATCCTGTAAGTCGCCAGTTATGTTAAGCATGAGTTGCTCAAAACCAATTCTGGATCTTCAAAAGTCACAACTGCTGAAGGGATATCTATGTTCTGTGTAACTTTTATTCAGATGACAATTTCCATCCATAAACACATGTGTGTGTGTGTGTGTGTGTGTGTGTGTGTGTGTGTGTGTGTGTGTGTGTGTGTGTGTGTGTGTGTGTGTGTGTGTGTGTGTCGTTGAGCATATTCTTTTCAAATGGGCTTTAAAACAAACTAATGTACTCACTCAAGAGAATATATTCTGAAAAATATTCTGAATAAAATGAAATAAAAAAAGAAATAGAATAATTTTACAAACCTGTACTCATTTTACCCTTCAGGTCACACAATCTGAATGTTCGTTTACCTGACGTTACCTCCTTAATTAATACGAAATTAGATTTGTAAGAAATATGTTGTAGGAGAGAAGTGTACCTCTCCGGTGATGTACAGATCGTTCTTCTGGAATTTAGGGAACATGGTGTAGAACTGCAGGAGGAAACTACAAGAAACAACAGGAATAAGAAAGTGGTGAGAATCGAGCTGGATATGACTAGGAGATAATGAGATGGTGTGTTCGTAGATATGTCTGTACAAGAATTGTACATCCCCCGCCATAACGCGGGTCTTGGGGCCCATGGCACACACACAAACAAAACAAACACACACACACACAACACAACACACACACACACAACTTGGAATAATGGCCAAGTAATATCATATTTTTCTTGTGCATAGTATCACTGCATTTTCTGGTATTGCGTCCGGTTTAAACCATGTCATATTGTCGGACGTGAACAAACTTTATAAATGAAAATAGGAAACTTGCAATAAAAGATCACTCTACATGACAATTCACAGTTTCAGTTGTAGTTCCTGTTAGGCTTGGCATGGTTTTATATGTAGAGATAAAGTTTAACTAAGGGGAAATAACTAGGGCTGCGCAATATAACCGGTTTACCGGTATTTACCGGTTCAGACATGAAAACTATACGTATTGCGATACGCTGGTTGAAAACCGGTATTTTGACTTGCATTCGGAAAACTTCGTAACACTCGGAAATCTTTGGATATTTCCTTGTTTCATTTGTGCCAAATATTCTTCACATTTTTATTTTATCATGATTAAAAGTTGTTATTAAAGCTTAATCAAGCATAGTGATTTTGTTGTGTTTTTGCCTTATAAATCAAGCATTAACTCGCTTATAAGTAGTATTTTGTTTTAAAATACTTCAGGCAATATATTGCAATACATATCGAAATACATGCTTTCGCATCGCAATATATTGCAATATGAAAATTTTGTGCAATACCCACCCCTAGAAATAACTATCAGCTTTGTCTACATGTTTTGTTCCAGTTTGCCTGTGACTGTGCATCAGACATAGGGTTATTATCAGCTATGTTGATCTAAAGACGCCATTATCGAGGTACTTTCTGCAAGGAATACATCAGTGTGTCAGTTTGTTTGTGCGGTAGTCACAATATTTCAACAATTTGACGGAACTGCGTAAATTATCTCGACCAACTGTCTGGAGAATGACACTGGGGGAACCGTCCAATGTCATCTGAGGAATGCTATCAGCCAAGTCATCTAGCCTTGGAATCAGCTCCTACCCAGATATCCTCACTGGCATCGGGTACATATGATACACTGAAGGTACGTTGATGAGGTACAGATCTGACATAAACATTTGATTGGTTGGTTGGTTTGTTGTTTAACGCCGCACTCAGCAATAGTCCAGCTATATGGCGGCGGTCTGTAAATAATCGAGTCTGGGCCAGACAGTCCAGTGATCAACAGCACAAGCATCGATCTGCGCAATTGGGAACCGATGGCATGTGCGAACCTGACCACCCGATCCCGTTAGTCGCCTCTTACGACAAGCATAGCTTGCTGGAGGATGGACTGATGGAACAGACCACTTGAGCGCAATTTGCATAGCGGAAAATCGAAAAGGATGCATTTTCATGTGCTGAGTTCGATGGGAGGTAGGGTTGATATCTCATCATGACAGGACATAGAATAGAACTTGTTCGTTTTGATAGCTCGTCCAGGCTGGGTAGGTAGTACAAATGATTTCAATAACTCATCACAATAGGACTGGCTGACTGACTGAGTTTGGTTTTTACGCCGCTTTTAGCAATATTCCAGCAACATCACGGCGGGGGACACAACAAATGGGCTTCACACATTGTACCCATGTGGGGATTCGAACCCGGGTCTTCGGCGTGACGAGCCAACGCTTTAACCATTAGGCTACCCCACCGCCCCATCACAATAGGACGCATCATATGGCTAGCTATAAAAGAGCTACATTCCTGGGTTAAAATTTATGGTATCATAAATCGTTTCTTGTCACATTCACAATTTTTAAAAATATTCATTCACGTTTAGCTCCCATTTGTATTGCCTGAATTACTTTATCATTCTATTAATAGGTTCACATCTAGATCCCCGCATACAACATTAAGTAAATTCACATCTAATTGATCAATTAATATTCCACTGTGCAAGAATACCTGACCAATACACAGCCTTATTAACAGGATAAAGTTGTAATTACCTGTAGAGGTCCCTTGCAACATCGTCCTCCGTGGTAGCATAGCCTTTGTCACTGTCAGTGAAACTGAAACCTGTACCGACCTGCCAAGTACATAGTGTTGAACACAGCTGTCAGTCTTTAAAAGGATATTCACCACAAATAGTTATCGTTAAAAATTAATCAGTTAATAAAAATATCATGAATGCAGTTCAGTGAATGTGAGTTGAGCAACCAGTGAAATGGTTTATCACGTCACTATACTTTGTAAAATGAAGGGGTGTGGTTGCTTAAATCTGATTGGCTGAAAACATTGATAAATTGGGATTCCAACCCAAGACATCTCCTGAACTACTCACTATGTACAAAACCATGGAAGCGGAGGTGATTTTGGGTCTTAATCATCAGTGTAAAATCAGTACATTTTGTGCCAATCCTCTATCTACAGATGTTTACAACACCAGAATCACAAAAAGAATATTGAGGACAATCCATAAATAGATGGAAACTATTTGTACTTTATTTTATGAGTCAGATTTTGTTGTAGAAGGTTTAAGCCACCAGGATTTATTTTCAAACGTATCGTATCGAACCCGGGAAATATTCCATTGAAAAACAATGCTGAATGAATCATCCGGTTAATTCTTTCAGAGTAGGCCCAAACTAAATTCTGAGATCTCATTATTTATTGTTACAAACATCCCAGTACTTACAGGGTTGTCAAGTAATACTAATAACTATTATATCATACACCTCAGTACTTACAGAATTGTCAAGAAATCCAAATTAATTATATTGTTACAAACACCTCAGTACTTACAGGTTTCTCATGGAATCCTATAAATTATCGTTACAAACACTCAAGTACTTACAGAAACGTCAAGAAATCTCATTAATTATTGTTACAAATACCTCAGTATTTACAGGGTTGTCGTGAAATCCCATTAATTATTGTTACAAACACCTCAGTATTTCCAGGGTGTTATCAAGAAATCTCATTAATTATTGTTACAAACATCTCAGTACTTACAGGGTTGTCAAGAAATCTTATTAATTATTGTTACAAACACCTCAGTACTTACAGGGTTTGTCAAGAAATCTCATTAATTATTGTTACAAATATCTCAGTACTTACAGGGTTGTCAAGAAATCCCATTAATTATTGTTACAAACACCTCAGTACTTACAGGGTTGTCAAGAAATCTCATCAATTATTGTTACAAACATCCCAGTACTTACAGGGTTGTCAAGAAATTTCATTAATTATTGTTACAAACATCTCAGTACTTACAGGGTTGTCAAGAAATCTCATTAATTATTGTTACAAACATCTCAGTACTTACAGGGTTGTCAAGAAATCTCATTAATTATTGTTACAAACACCTCAGTACTCACAGATTCGTCAAGAAATCCCATTAATTATTGTTACAAACAGCTCAGAACTTTCAGGGTTGTCAAGAAATCTTATTAATTATTGTTACAAACATCTCAGGACTTCCAGGGTTGTCAAGAAATCTTATTAATTATTGTTACAAACACCTCAGTACTTCCAGGGTTTGTCAAGAAATCTCATTAATTATTGTTACAAAACATCTCAGTACTTACAGGGTTGTCAAGAAATCTTATTAATTATTGTTACAAACATCTCAGTACTTACAGGGTTTGTGAAGAAATCTCATCAATTATTGTTACAAACACCTCAGTACTCACAGATTCGTCAAGAAATCCCATTAATTATTGTTACAAACACCTCAGTACTTACAGGGTTGTGAAGAAATCTCATTAATTATTGTTACAAACATCTCAGAACTTACAGGGTTGTCAAGAAATCTCATTAATTATTGTTACAAACATCTCAGAACTTACAGGGTTGTCAAGAAATCTTATCAATTATTGTTACAAACACCTCGAGTACTTCAGGGTGTTGTCAAGAAATCTCATTAATTATTGTTACAAATATCTCCATCCAGTACTTACAGGGTTGTCAAGAAATCTCATTAATTATTGTTACAAACACCTCAGTACTTACAGGGTTGTCAAGAAATCTCATCAATTATTGTTACAAACATCCCAGTACTTACAGGGTTGTCAAGAAATTTCATTAATTATTGTTACAAACATCTCAGTACTTACAGGGTTGTCAAGAAATCTCATTAATTATTGTTACAAACATCTCAGACTTCCAGGGTTGTCAAGAAATCTTATTAATTATTGTTACAAACACCTCAGTACTTCCAGGGCGTTGTCAAGAAATCTCATTAACTATTGTTACAAACATCTCAGTACTTACAGGGTTGTCAAGAAATCTCATTAATTATTGTTACAAACATCTCAGTACTTACAGGGTTTGTGAAGAAATCTCATCAATTATTGTTACAAACACCTCAGTACTCACAGATTCGTCAAGAAATCCCATTAATTATTGTTACAAACACCTCAGTACTTACAGGGTTGTGAAGAAATCTCATTAATTATTGTTACAAACATCTCAGAACTTACAGGGTTGTCAAGAAATCTCATTAATTATTGTTACAAACATCTCAGAACTTACAGGGTTTGTGAAGAAATCTCATCAATTATTGTTACAAACACCTCAGTACTCACAGATTCGTCAAGAAATCCCATTAATTATTGTTACAAACACCTCAGTACTTACAGGGTTGTCAAGAAATCTCATTAATTATTGTTACAAACATCTCAGTACTTACAGGGTTGTCAAGAAATCTCATCAATTATTGTTACAAACACCTCAGTACTCACAGATTCGTCAAGAAATCCCATTAATTATTGTTACAAACACCTCAGAACTTTCAGGGTTGTCAAGAAATCCCATTAATTATTGTTACAAACATCTCAGGACTTCCAGGGTGTTGTCAAGAAATCTCATTAACTATTGTTACAAACATCTCAGTACTTACAGGGTTGTCAAGAAATCTCATTAATTATTGTTACAAACATCTCAGTACTTACAGGGTTTGTGACGAAATCTCATCTATTATTGTTACAAACACCTCAGTACTCACAGATTCGTTAAGAAATCCCATTAATTATTGTTACAAACACCTCAGTACTTACAGGGTTGTGAAGAAATCTCATTAATTATTGTTACAAACATCTCAGAACTTACAGGGTTGTCAAGAAATCTCATTAATTATTGTTACAAACATCTCAGAACTTACAGGGTTGTCAAGAAATCTTATTAATTATTGTTACAAACACCTCAGTACTTCCAGGGTGTTGTCAAGAAATCTTATTAATTATTGTTACAAACATCTCAGAACTTACAGGGTTGTCAAGAAATCTTATTAATTATTGTTACAAACACCTCAGGACTTCCAGGGTTGTCAAGAAATCTTATTAATTATTGTTACAAACACCTCAGTACTTCCAGGGTGTTGTCAAGAAATCTCATTAACTATTGTTACAAACATCTCAGTACTTACAGGGTTGTCAAGAAATCTTATTAATTATTGTTACAAACATCTCAGTACTTACAGGGTTTGTGAAGAAATCTCATCAATTATTGTTACAAACACCTCAGTACTCACAGATTCGTCAAGAAATCCCATTAATTATTGTTACAAACACCTCAGTACTTACAGGGTTGTGAAGAAATCTCATTAATTATTGTTACAAACATCTCAGAACTTACAGGGTTGTCAAGAAATCTCATTAATTATTGTTACAAACATCTCAGAACTTACAGGGTTGTCAAGAAATCTTATCAATTATTGTTACAAACACCTCAGTACTTCCAGGGTGTTGTCAAGAAATCTCATTAATTATTGTTACAAATATCTCAGTACTTACAGGGTTGTCAAGAAATCTCATTAATTATTGTTACAAACACCTCAGTACTTACAGGGTTGTCAAGAAATCTCATCAATTATTGTTACAAACATCCCAGTACTTACAGGGTTGTCAAGAAATTTCATTAATTATTGTTACAAACATCTCAGTACTTACAGGGTTGTCAAGAAATCTCATTAATTATTGTTACAAACATCTCACGACTTCCAGGGTTGTCAAGAAATCTTATTAATTATTGTTACAAACACCTCAGTACTTCCAGGGCGTTGTCAAGAAATCTCATTAACTATTGTTACAAACATCTCAGTACTTACAGGGTTGTCAAGAAATCTCATTAATTATTGTTACAAACATCTCAGTACTTACAGGGTTTGTGAAGAAATCTCATCAATTATTGTTACAAACACCTCAGTACTCACAGATTCGTCAAGAAATCCCATTAATTATTGTTACAAACACCTCAGTACTTACAGGGTTGTGAAGAAATCTCATTAATTATTGTTACAAACATCTCAGAACTTACAGGGTTGTCAAGAAATCTCATTAATTATTGTTACAAACATCTCAGAACTTACAGGGTTTGTGAAGAAATCTCATCAATTATTGTTACAAACACCTCAGTACTCACAGATTCGTCAAGAAATCCCATTAATTATTGTTACAAACACCTCAGTACTTACAGGGTTGTCAAGAAATCTCATTAATTATTGTTACAAACATCTCAGTACTTACAGGGTTGTCAAGAAATCTCATCAATTATTGTTACAAACACCTCAGTACTCACACTGAGATTCGTCAAGAAATCCCATTAATTATTGTTACAAACACCTCAGAACTTTCTCAGGGTTGTCAAGAAATCCCATTAATTATTGTTACAAACATCTCAGGACTTCCTCAGAACTTACAGGATTGTCAAGAAATCTCATTAACTATTGTTACAAACATCTCAGTACTGGGTTGTCAAGAAATCTCATTAATTATTGTTACAAACATCTCAGTACTTACAGGGTTTGTGACGAAATCTCATCTATTATTGTTACAAACACCTCAGTACTCACAGATTCGTTAAGAAATCCCATTAATTATTGTTACAAACACCTCGAGTACTTACAGGGTTGTGAAGAAATCTCATTAATTATTGTTACAAACATCTCAGAACTTACAGGGTTGTCAAGAAATCTCATTAATTATTGTTACAAACATCTCAGAACTTACAGGGTTGTCAAGAAATCTTATTAATTATTGTTACAAACACTCTGGTAGCTTCCAGGGTGTTGTCAAGAAATCTTATTAA